ACACTTTTAACATTTGAAAATGTATTTCTGAAAGGAATGATTGCTAACATGAATCATTTACTATTATCATAGAATTCAGGAAAAACATGCAGAACAATGTGATGTGCTAGCAACAGTGACATCATTTTATAAGCCATTGGGCCATTGAGTTAGCAATTTATACTAAGTTCCCCCTTCTCATTGTTTTCCCTCACTTTACTGTTTAAATTGTAGATATTCTTGAAGACATTTTGATTCATAAAGAATGCTAAATGGCCATATTAAATGACATTAGATATTAAAATGCTATTGAGTAAAACTTTCTGCTTGAATGTCAGAGCTCAAAGCCAGCAGAGCATCTGGAAATTAAAGATAGTTTCTAAAAGCAAGAAAAACACAGAGAGGGTGAGCCCTTTCCTGCTCAAATTCTAGCTGATTGCCATGTTTCACAGACTCAGAGAGTCTCAGGAGGTAAGGCTAAAAAAGCAGCAATTAGAAGCCACAAGAACAAAACAGAGCATACCATGGGTTAGAGAAAGTTTATAGGTTGAATATAGAAAAGGTAAATATATACTGGAATAAAAACCCAGCAATGCTTATAAAACCATGATAGAATTCAGTTTCTTTATAATGTGTTATCTAAAGTATCCAGTTTTCTATAAAAATATTAGATACACAGTGAAACAGAAAACTGTAATTCATAGTCCAAAAAAAAGGCAGTCAATAGAAATTGACTCTTACTTAAACCAGATTTGAATTTAGAAGACACAGACTTTAAAGTAGCAATTTTAGTATCTTTAGAAAATTAAAGGAAAATATGGTGTCATGAATAAACAGAAAAGTAATTTTTATAGGCAGCAGATGTAAGTTATTTGAATAAAATCAGAAATCTTAGAACGGAAAAGTACAATTTTGGAAATAACTTGTTCAATGGGCTGAGCTATAGTTGCAGCATGCCAGCTGTAAAATCTTAGCAAACCTGAAGAAAGAATCATGGAATTATCCAATCTACAGACTAGAAAGAGGAAAAGATGGAATCAAAGGGAACAGATTGTAAGAGATCTGTGGACATTATGGAAGTGGTGAGAAAAAATATATGCTTATAATCCTTGAAGGAGAGGGGACAAGGAGGCATAATAACATTTGAGGAGATAATGACTAAAGATTTCCCAAATTTTGTGGGAAAAAAACTAATTTACAGATGCAAGGAGCTCAGGGAGCCCAAAGAAAAGGAAACACAAAAACATTTCTAGACATATAGCCAAATTACTGTAATAAACAAAAAGATTTGGGAGCAGCCAGAGAACAAAGGTATGCTACATATGATAAACATTGGACTACAAACCACAAAGTCCAAGGTTCGAGTTTGCCAGCTTCTCCATAGGACAAAGATGAAATTTTCTGCTCCCTCAAAGATTTAAAAGCCTCAGAAACCCAATATAGGGTACCTGTGAGTCAGAACTGACTCAAAGGTATTTAATAACAACTTATATTTGACCGAAAGCAATTGAAATGATTTGCTGTCAATGATAGTTTAAGATTTTAAGCAAAAATTAGAATATTTGAAAACTTTTCACGTTGAAGATTTTTTGATGATCTTCGGTGATATTAACAAATGTGATTTTTGTATTCTTTATAATGATGTGTGGTGTAGTGCTGTGGGTTAATGTGGTGGACTGCAAAGTTGGTTTGATCTGTAAGGTCGGCAGTTCAAGCTCACCAGCCACTCTTCGGAAACTCTATATAGGGTCGCTCTGAGTCAGAACCAACTTGACAGCACTTAACAGTAACAACAATAGTGATGTGTCAACAGTTTGGAGATATTACAAATCTTGCACTGGTAAAAAAAAAAAAAAAAATCATTTTAAAGTACTAGGTTGATGAATGGATTTTGATTCATTAACTTACCATGGAATTCCATTATGATGATTAAATGAATTCTGATATAAGTTGACTATTTCACTTTTGCCCCACCCCTACCCCCCGGTTATTGCCTCTTATTATCAGTATATTTATAAATCCAGGCTTTATCTTTGGGAGTTGGGAGAATTACATAAAATCTTGCATATATATGAGGGTAAGTCAAAAAGTGTTGCTACAAAATCTTAGCAAAAGAGCATTCAACATTTCAATTCAAAGGATTTTTGAAGTTTCTGTCACATGATGTGAAGAAGAATTGCAGCTGTGAGAATTCATCCAGATTTCTTTTAGTTTTGTTTATTATATTCTTTTAAATGCGTTTAGCAGTACCTGTAGAGTTTCTTGGACTCCTGGTGTGGTGCTATAGGATAAGCACTAGACTGCTAATTTAAAGGTCGGTGGTTCAAACCCACCAGCTGCTCCTTGGAAACCCTCTACAGGGTCTCTGTGAGTCAGAATTGACTTGACAGCACTTAACAGAAACAACAGAGTTTCTTATCTTTATTACACAAAAATAGCAAAATACTAAGCTATTGTTTTTTTTGCATATCCTCATCCTAGGTCTGTAAGCTTCCTGAAGGTGGTGTTTCTAATCTTTAATCCTTTCCCCCAAAGAATTCTGCACTCTTCTATTTGTTGTTGTTTTTGTTAAGTGCCATCGAGTCAGTTCTAACCTCCTGAATGATGAGAGAATAATTATTGTTTGTTAAAACCATTCACTTTGGTATATCTGTTGTAGCAACACTAGATGACTAAGACATTCTTCAGCATCCATTAAGTGCTGATTTGTCAAGTCCTCTTCTTCATGTTCTGTGAGCCGTTCCATGTTAGCAATCTCAAATTTTCAGTTTCACTTTACTGCCACATTGGTACTTTGCCTACCAGTATCTTACATCATTCAGATCAATATTTGAAGTGTTTTCATATAACTTAGCAACTTTTTCCATATCCATCCCCTATATACATTTTTCCCATAACATTCTCCAGGAAAATGTACTAACGATAAGATGTACAAAAACATAAGAACAGATAGTCGTTAAGTGCAGTTTGTTGGAAATTGAGTATATCCAAGTCACGTATTGCCTCTATCTAAATGTTTATTGGTACAGCTTTAGAGTCTGCATTGCAGCTTTTCTTTGAGAACCTGCCACTCATCAAATTTTGTTACAGTAGCAATGCAGAAAAACTGCAGTTATTTGAAATGGCTTTTGAATTAATCCTTTATTTCCCAACTGCCTATCTGTGACATATCCTTTATAGATTGTACCTAGAAAAACATATTAAAGTGGATTCATTTTAGAAGCAGATCTGTGAATCCAGCTATCTGATATTTTTTGTTATTATTGCTAAGTGCCATTGAGTTGGTTCAAACCCATGGCTACCCTGTATAGGGTTTCCAGGGAGTGGCTATGAGTGTGAACCGACAACCTTGCAGTTTATCCTACAGCACCACACCAGGATGAATACTAAGCCAGGCATTAAGGAAACTTGCAAAAATATAAAACAGTGTTCTTTTGTTTTATAGTTACAGCTATTTTTCATAAAATTATGCTATTTATATTTATATGTGTTGAGTATATTGTCATTTTTATTAAATTCATGTTTTAATTTTTAAAATTTAATATAATAAATGTAACTTCTGATATGGTAAATATAAATATATACAATCCATGTAAACAAAAACTCTGGTTAACTCCTTAATTTTTAAGACTGTAAAGGTGTCCTGAGGCCAAAAAGTTTGGGAAATGCTTGGAATGTGATGCCTCAGACAGCAGAAACCTTTAAAAACATCTTACTGGAGAACTGGAAATATCTGGTAGCCCAGGAGATTAGCGTTCTTTATTATATGATAGCATGTTAGTTTTTGTTGATGTCTTGATTATTTTCAACCAGATGATATAGTAGTATATTATCAAGCATAATACTTAATGCTTTTAGTGGCAATTTTCTAGCCCTTTTATTTTTATCAGAGAGCTTTACCAGAAAAGTAGTAAGAGAATAATCTGTGTTTTCTCTACTTCTTCCTCCTTTTCTGACACTGGAATTTTCAAGGGAGAGGTGTTCATTAGGTATTAGGGAACTTCTGTTATTGTCTGCAGTCAACTGCCGTGTTAGCCATTCTGAGCTATTTGCTCAGTTTCTAGAAAAGAGCATTCAACATTTAAAATCAAAGGATTTTTGTAATTTCTGTCACATGATGTGAAGAATTGCAGCTGTGAGAATTCATCCAGATTTCTTTTTTTAAGTTTCATTTATTATATTCTTTTAAATGCATTTAGTAGTACCTGTAGAGTTTCTTGGACTCCTGGTGTGGAGCTGTAGGATAAGCACTGGACTGCTAACCTAAAGGTTGGTGGTTCAAACCCACCAGCTGCTCCTTGAAAACCCTGTACAGGGTCTCTGTGAGTCAGAATCAACTTGACAACACTTAGCAGAAACAACAGAGTTTCTTATCTGCTAGGTGGCATAATTGATCAACCTGAAATGAGTTTGTTATAAGTGATAAATGTATAAGTGATAAATGTAAAGTTGATTTTAATTTTGCAATACTACATCATTCCCAATTTCTTTCATGCACTCCCTTCCCTTTACCACTGTTTTTTCCAACTTGTAGTATATATGAGCTTGTTCAACTCTGATGGCTTCCTACGACTTAGATTATTGTAGTGGTAAAAATAATCACTAACAAATGTTATTATACTCCTTCTTCAGACTTTTTCTAGTTCAGGTAATATGTCTCAAGTTTATATATGTGTGGACAGGAGCACTAAGACAGCTTCACTTTATATTTTCTTTCTTGATTAGGTTGAGTTACATGGGAGTATTGAAATGGGCAATCTTGCCCTGTATTAAGTTTAAGAGATTTAATAGTGATTTTCTTTCTGAATTACATTTTACTTCATTTTATTCTTTAAATGACAGCTAATTCTTTTCTCTTTGCAAATGGTTGTAGTTCTGAAAGTCACATAGAGGCTTTAACCAGAATAGAAGCTTGTTAATTTCAGAATCTCAATTAGAGGGGTGTGTTTTGAGTCTAGAAATAAGAACAGGTCATTTATCAGCTAACTTCTTACACCAGATTGTCTCTTATGTTTTTGTAGGCCAAAGATGAAGAGGAAGCCTTTCTGGATTGGAGCGATGATGATGATGATGATGGATTTGATCCTAGCACACTTCCAGATCCTGATAAGTACAGAAGCTCCGAAGAAGATTCAGATAGTGAAGATACCGAAAATAGAATTAGGTATGCTTTTATAATTGGTAAATTAAGAATATGGGATTTCTACTTTTAACCCAAAAGTCATTATTAAGAATAATACTGATAGATTTTTACCTTAATAATATCCTGGAAATCCTGCTCCTATCCTTTTCTTACTCTACCTTTAGATCATCTTACAAATGCCATGAACTCCTCTGACCATTTGATAGGTCCCTTATTGTTTCTATAATCCTATAGAAGGTTGTTTTTATGTGCTGCCAAGTTCATTCCAACCCATAGTCACCTGTAAGAAAGACTAGATCTGCCCATAGAGTTTTCTAGGCTTTCATCTTTATTGTCATGATGGTGCAGTTGTTGAAGCACTCAGCTGCTAACTGAAAAGTCGGTGATTTGACCTACCAAGAGCTCCATGGTAGACATGTGTCATACTGCTTCGATAAAGATTGACAGTTTTAGAAACCCTATGGGGCAGGTATACTGTTTCCTATAGGATCACTATGGTTAGAATCAAATCAATGACAATTGGTCTTTCGTAATCTTTATGTGAGAAGGCCATCAGGTATTTGCTCCTATGAAGTGGCTAGTAGGTTAGAACTGTCAACCTTTCAGTTAGCAACCAAATGCTTAGTAATTATGTAACCAAGGCTCCTTTATAAGTGAGATGGTTAACTTGGCTAAGCCATAATTCTCATTGGCTTGGGAGTTATATAATGATGTGATCTGGCAGTTAAAGTAATGATATAGTTATCCTCCATTTTGTGATGTTGTTGTTTGTTATTGTTAAGTCGAGCCAGTTCCATATTGTAGCGCCTCCTGTATAGGGTTTTCAAGGAGTGCTGGTGGGTTTGAACTGCCTGCCATCCTTGCTGCTCAAACTGACCTTGCAATCCAGCACAGTATCCTGCAGTGCCACACCAGCACACACTATTCTGTGATAAAATGTGAGTAATTCCATGACATGATCTGTTGTGACCAGCCTCTAAGTGTTAAGGGATGTTTTCTCGGGGATGTGGCCTGCAACTCATATATATGGATATTCTGACAGAGCATGCAGGATTTTCCTCACTCTGGATCATACATTCAATGCCTTGTCCTATTGCCTGCTGCCAACCTTGGGTTCATCCACCCCTGTAGCTGTGTGAGTCTGGAAAAGCCTCTAGCCTGATACCTGACCCACAAGCTTGGGACTTGCCAACCTCCACAACTGTGTGAGCATTTCATTTGGCTCAAAAAAGGAGAAATCTTTATCTTTCTCTCTTTTATGTGTGTGTATATATGTATGTATATCTATGAGAATAAGTCACAAGTATTGATACTAGGGTTCTAGTTCATATTTACACGGGTTTATTTCAAACAAAATGTGCTTAAAGCGTATCTCTCCAATCAGGGATGGCTGCAGATAGGTTCTTTCAGTAATTCAATTGTCTTAGTCTTGTTTGGATACCTTCAAATAAAAAGTCAAATTAAAACAATGGCTTCTAAGGTGATCTACTAAGCCAGTTAAATTCAAGGCAGAGGTCAACCCAGAAGGTTATAGAATTGTTTTGAAGGATTCTAAAGGTGCAGTCTTGATGGATTTTCTCTTAAGAATGCAGCACAATCATAGTACTTAAGAAAATTGAAAAATGCATTGATGAGGAAAAGGCCAAGGAAAGTTAAACCAAGAAATTTTTCCATAGATAATGTACTTTTTCATTCTTCAAGGGCAGCAAGGGCTGTCCTATGAGACTTTACTTGAGAAACCTTATACCATCGACCCTACACAGTCCTGATCTTTTCCCTTTAGATTACTGGCTGTTTCCAAAACTTGAAGAACATTTAAAAGGAATACGATTTGAGACCCTTGAGAATGCCAAAACTGCTATTTTGACATGGTGGTATAAATTGAAGAGTGCAGAATTCTTTGGGGGAAGGGTTAAAGAGATGGAAACATTGCTTCCTTAAGAAGCGTATAGCCTAGATGGAGAATATGTCAAGACAATACCTTCACATTTTGATATCTTTGTTTAATAAAGGTTTCTATGGTTTTGTAGCAATACTTTTTGACTTAAACGTCATACACATACACAGAGACACACATATATGTTTGGATACCTTCAAATAAAA